AAGAACCACTAAATATTAATACCTCATTTCCAATCTCTTCCTACCAAGGCCTCTTTCCACAACTCCTAGCCCTACACTCACCCTCTTTCATCTGGCCTATTCTAACTAGCCTTCCCTCTATGAGACCTTGAGCAAGCTACTTCTTTCTGAGCCTCAGTTTTCTCATCTGTAAAGTGGGGCTAATGGTGGCCTCCTCAAAGGTCTGTTAGGAGGAACCATCCAACACAATGCCTAGCACAGTGAAGATCCATAATCCATGTTAATTTGTGTCATGTAAAAGCTGAAGTTTTTGAAGTATAGAGAACCTTCACAACTGTGGTTCCACTGATAAAAAGAAGCCACAGACCAATGGGATAGTTAAGAAGAAATGGACATAGTAATTTCAATGATGAAATCACCATAGCCTTGACACTGACATCCTACTGTGTGACTCTGACCGAGCCACCTTCCTCTCTGGGCTTCAGTTACCTATGGGCCTATGCTCTACTTTTTCTGAATTAGAGAGTATCTCAAGAAAGTCTTCCACAAAGCTCCTAGCCCTCTCCCCTCTATGTGCTTTCCCTGGGAGAGCTCATCCACACTCTTGGCTTTGCCTACCACTCAAACTTAATATCCCCCAAATTTATCTCCAACTGAGACTACTCTGTGCCTGAACATTTCACAGATGCCGCAAATCCTCCATATCCAAAGCCAGACTCATCACCTTACTCTTTGAACCTGCTTCGCATCCTCCAGGGTTCCTCTACTCCGTGAAAAGACACCTAATCCACCCATCAACTCAAACCAGGAACTTGCCTCTTTTTCCCTCCCTGTCTACAGCCAACCAGTCTCCAAGGCCCTATTCCACCCCTTCTTTTCCATGCCTGTTGCCACTGTCCTATTTCAGGCCTCATCAGTGTCCAGACAAAAACAGCATTCTCATCAGTCTTTCCCTCTCCAGGCTATGCTTCATACTGATTACTTCCTGAACTTTCTAGCCAGCAAATCCCACCCTATTTCTCACCTTAGAACCTCCCCACGAATTTTTACCACCTACTGCAGTGTTTTATAGTTTGCCTTTGAGAAATATCTGTTCTGCTAGGTCTTAAGGGACACTATCCATAGAAAGCTAATGAGAAACAAAAGCAAACAGGTTTTTTAGTGGTTCTTATTCTTACCCAAGCCTTTAATATGTTCATGAGTGTTGAGACTTTTCAGTGGGAGCAGAAGAAAAGAGTTTTTCTTACATAACGTGACTGGAGAAGCTTCTTCACTGAACATCTAACAGGACTAGTTAGCATGAATTTTGGCAAACACTGGCCTAAATGATAAAATCAAAGGCACATAAGGGCTTCCATGTCTTATGCTTTTCAGGGGGGCTTCCCATACCCCAGCTTCATTCTCTACCACTCCTCCACCCACCCCCATGCACACACACCCATACTCCAATACTGAGCTCCCTGCTACTTTCCAAATATAACACATTATACCCTCATGCCACAGAACTTGAGTATTGCTGTCTCTCTGCTTCCCCCACCTAGTTAACTCCTTCTCATTAAGATCCAGCCCAATTCAGCACCTCCACTGAGAACCTGTCTCCCCAGCCTGTTACCCCATGCACACTGAGCTCCTCTTTATCAGAAAATCTATCAATGTTGTAACTACGTGTGTGGATCCTCACTGGATAGTATACTTTCTTGAGAGAGATGACTGTGCCTAATGTCATCTCCAAAGCTAGAAATTGAATGAAGGCTTTTTTAAAAACCATACTATGCAACAGGCTCTCTACTGGGCCTCTTGTTCTTGTATATCCCTCAAGACAAGCCTACAGTGAAGATCTTTGCTGTCCAAACAGCCACAGGTGGTTACTGAGGGCTTGAAATATGGCTAGGCCAAATCGAAATGCGCTAAAACTAAAATACCAGATTTTGAAAACAATACTAAAAAATGTAAAATATCTCAATGTTTTATACTGATTACATGTTGAAATATTTCGTATACAATGAGTTTACTAACATTGGTTTCATCTGCTTTTTGCTTTATTAAAGTGGCTACTAAAAAATTTAAATTACATGTGACTAGCATAATATTTCTACTGTACAGCGCTGTGGTGGATACTTTTATACGCATTTTAGGAACAAGGAAACGGAGTCTCAGGGAGGTAAATTGCCTTGTCCAGAGTAATCCCACGAGTCAGTGGCACAGCCCGTAAAGCACTGGAATCCAGGATTCTGACTCCAAAAACTGAATTCATTCCACCTCGCCTTTAGGTACCAATCCACAACTGCTCGAGAGGAAATGCAGGCTCTGCGGGATGGGGCTCTTCTCCACACCCCCACACAGGCTGCTCGCAGCGCCTCACATTCACTCACCATTGCGCATGAAGTAATCCTCCACTGCACCCCCCAGCCACTTGGCCTTCTCCTGGCTGTGCACACCCCCGAAGCCATTCTCCACAGCGATCTGTAAACACAGGTCCAAGCCCATCACGTCAACTTGGGAGCAGACTTGGAGTTGCCTGGAGGCCGCTTACGCCGCCCAGCCAACTCCTCTTACGCCGCCTAGCCAAGCCTCAGGCACCTAGCCCAACCAACTCCTGTTCTGCCCCGGCCCTAACCTTGACCTTGCCCTGGCCCCAACCTTGACCTTGCCCTGGCCCCACTGACCTGCAAGGCCGGCCAGGCCTCCAGGGCCGCGCAGACCCCAGCCCGGAAAAGAGCTCGCGCATCTTCTGCA